GTGTGGATCTAAGTATATATATTGGTAGGTTCGACTTTTAAACTCATAATTGTCGACATAAATGTTCTCAAGGCACATAAATTTCATCGCTACGACATGCGTGACGATGACTCACTGGAAATATTACATTAGTATCGTTCGCAGTTCATTGGCAAAAGCAACATTTTAAAACAAACAATATCGGTATTTTTGGTATATTTTAATATTTCGTTGAACTAAAATTTTTATTCAATTTTTAGATTTAATTATTTTTTACGATTATTAGGATTTTTATAACTATGATTTTAAAATTAAAAAAAAAATTCGGACAGTTATTATAATAAACATAAACCTTAAACAAGATCGTATTACTTGAATTAAACATTTTTAACTAGTAAAATTGAAGATCTGGAAATGTGTCATATTTTACAACTAATAAGTTTTCTTTCCAATCATTTTCAATCTCAATTAAGTTAAATTTTTTCTTTGGAACATTTATAAAATTTATTGTAGTCGGAACAGTTTTCGTAACTTTTTATCGTAGAAATCGAAGAAAAAAACTGGAACTTTAGTAATCTGATAATAACCAGAGTCATAAAATTGACCCTTATCTATTTCTTTCATTAAGAAAGAATTTTAAAAGAAAATTATTATTATTTTTTCATTTTTTAGCTGTCAAAAATAAGCGGTTGATCTATTTATATTATAATATTTCTTCAATTCTTTACAGATGAAATTAAAAAAAAAAAAATTTAATTAAAAAAAATTCAGTGTAATAATTTTAAATTGTATAGTTTCGGGTAGTAATTCAATACGTGAACTTGAATTGATTATTTCTATTTTCACTCAATTACTATAAAATTTAAGAAAGTTACTTCGAGGACATAAAAAGTATAAACAAAATTTCATGTGTGAAAATCTAACAAAAAATCGATCGATACTCTTTGTGAATAGTAAAATGTAGCCTAAAGAGTATCGAATGGAATATAAAAAAGCAAATGTGAAGTAAAGTAAGACTAGAGCTTTATCATAAGCATCTTATTACTTTTCTATCCGGCAACGTGTCTGTACAAGTAAATAATAGTTGATAGTAGCAATCGGTAGTACGTACACTGAACATCTTACACTTGGTGAATTGAATAAACATTGTAGATATAAGAATAGAAAGCTGTAAAATTTAGTAAAGGCAATACACCTTAACCCCAAGTGACAACTGGTGAATCGATCCCGTCAGTTGCATTATAAAAAATCTATAAAAGTTTTATCGGATAAGTTGATCGTAAAATTCAGAGTATCGGGTGTTATGAGTTAGGTTCCGCTGGTTGACCACAAGCTCTGCCCGACGTATAAGATATCCAGTAAAAGTTTTCAGTTATCTTTTTATTATTATTTTTATTTTTTGTATAATGTTAGTGAATTTTTAATTTTCAGTCATGGAAAATTTGAATGATAGTTTGCAATTCTCTTTTGAAAAAATTATAAATTTTCTGCTTGAATTAAGAAAAAAGATGTCCGTGACACAATTCCGGAGACACTTTTTATTTATGTCTTATCTCCTACTTAATTATTACAGCTTGCGGCTCACTTCTAGCTTATTATTATAGTAAACAAGATAATTCACCGTGATTTCATTTCTTGATGTTATACTCCTCGTCAAAAGGGACATTGTTATTATAAGAAAAAAACCGCGTAGGTCGATTGAATTAATTTACCCTGAATCCCACAATTTATTACTCAAATCTTAGCCCATACTAAAAATTGCGCATTTGACTTATTTTAAGTTATTTAAATTTGTCATCTAATTTTTATTAAAATTTTAATTATTTTATTTAGTTTTCTGAAATGAGCTGTCGAATTTAATTTAATATATTTATATCAACTTCTTATTTTACTCTTCTATAAATATATTGATAAGTTTAATAATCTATATTTATAATTTTATAATCTTTTTAGAGTATCCGTATGTCTGTTTTTTATGCGCTGTTGCCGGTTTTTAACATGACCAAAAATTAACCAAAAAAATTTTATTTTTACTATTACAAAAATCTTTTCTGTTTGAAATTAATGAATCTCTGAAATTTTTTAATTTTTTTTTCAACAAATAAGTTATTTTTAAAAAGTTTTACAAAATTCTACATGGACAAGATAAAAAAATTGACTTGATTCAAGAGAAAAAATCTTAAACAAATTTTTTTTTAAGCCCTTAAGTTATGAGACTTTTAATTTTTCTTTTGATAATTATAAATAATTAAATCTGCATTATAACCAAAGCGGTCCTTTAAATAAATGAACGGAATTCTTCATCAATTCAAGAGCACTTTATAAAACATTCGATTAAATATAACTATGATCCTCGAACTGCATCTTTACTTCAAGTCATTGATTCTTCATTCTCAACGAACCGTATTTTTTTTTTTAATTAACTTCAAGAAGTTACTAGAAACGTCCTCTTTATCCTCGAGAAGGCCACATTTACAAATAATCACGTAATTAGATAAAGATTTTAATTTTCTGTCTGTATAAAATTAATTTACACAAAGTTTGGAAAATTCTAAAATATATACAAACGCTTATGTTAATCGTTTAACGTAGAAAATTCAATCATTTTTATTCATTAATTTGAGACAAAATTAAAAAAAAAAAGTATATCTATCAAAATATGAGCGCTCTCAAGAAACAATTAAAGAAAAGCATACATTTAAACAATTGACTTTTGAATTAAGATTCCGGTTTTAGAAGCAAAATTAAAATTTCTTCTTCTATACATCCCAATACATCGTCTTTTGTTTTCTTATTGACCCAAAAACTGGACAAAGAACTGAAAGCAAAGCAAAATGTACAACTATAACTATAACCATAATTAAAACTACCCCGAAAAATGATTCGGACACTTGACTGTCTAGTCTTTTGTTTAGACGTCTAAAAATACATATATATTTTTCATTAGCTTCCTCTTCCTCTTCCTTGTTCTTAATCTTCTGTTTCGCCAGAAAATACTTATAAAAATAATATTCTGGCGCCAGGGTATACATATTTATGGGTTATACTTAACCGTAATAAAAAAATGTATAAGTAAAGGATCTATACATCCATTACACGTAACAGTTAAAGTAAAAGATGAAACGTTTCATACTTGCACTTTATTTCAAGCATCTGTTTTAGCAATGCTGCAGTTCTCTCATTTATTTTCTTTTATTTAACATTTTGAAATATACCACACGAGCCAAGTGTCGGCATAATATTTCACTAAGGATTAAGAGTAAAAGCTTTACTTCTAAGTGAAAATTATTCTTTATTGTGACTCGTTAAATTTTCTTAGTACATTCATACAATATTTGTCAATATTTTCTTAGTACACAATTATAATTTTCACTTTTACTCAAAATTATTTCGAAGAAATCGGAGGTACGAGAAAATTGAACAAAACTTTTTTTTATAGAAAATTGAATTTCCCATAAAAAAAGGTCTCTTATGAATTTTTAAATTATAGATAAATTGTCTTGGATAAAAATTTTATTTTGAAAAAACAATATTAATGTTGGCACAAATTTGCGTATATTTAAATTACACAAAACCTAATTACAATTAATTATGTTAATCCAGTAAAAGTAAGGAAGAGTTTCTAGTTTATGCAACAAAAGGCTGATGATTAAAGTTGTCATTTGACGGTCAACTGATTTCCCCAATGACCTGCTACTGGAGAGTAAAGTTTGACCTGATGAGCCGTATTACCGGTCATATTTTATCACACATATCGCCCGTCACGTATTAAGTTTACCCTCATTCCGAACTTTGAACGCTAAACACACATAGACATAAATATATGTATATTTTTAGTAGCAAGTTTAAGAAAGAGCTAGAAAGTGTAGAGTGTACCGTGTATAATGAGACAGAATACTTTTGATAAGTAGAAGCGGTACTTTAAGTAAATGGTTACGATTCGTTGCTCACACGCGTGCACACACTTAATACCGTTTCGCCTGTATCTACTCTACTCTGGACTGTGTTAACCATGTAACATTATGTGCACATGCACTCCTCGCGCGTCCAACCACGTAATACAAATTTCTAAATGCTCCGTTACATACATCCGTCTTTTGCTTTACTTTGCTTACATATACGCCCTTTCATTCATATATTTGTTTTCATACATGTAATATATAGAATTGTAAAGTATAGACTCTGTTTGTCATCATTTGAATTATTACATACTGTCATTTGCTTTTTTTTATTTTTATTTTTATTTTTGTTTGATATACAGCTTCGATAATGACTGTGTAAATAATAATAATAATAATAATAATAATAATAATAATAATAATAATCTTTTTATTAAGTTAATTTTTCTAACAACTTCCGATACTAATGACCGGGGATGATGGTATTTCATTATCTTGAAAATTTTTTTTTTAATAATTCAATAAAAATTCAAAGATTATGATAATAACAAAAATTAATTAAAAAAAAGACTAAGCTGTTTATTGAATAATTAAAATTATTTTAAAAAAAATTTTTAAAGATAATGAAAAACAGTAATAATAATAATAAACATTTTTTAATTCATACGATCATTATTGTTTATTTATTTTTATTTATCATTTTACTTCTGGTAGTGATTCTATAGCTATTATTTGAATATTTATTATTTATAAAGAATCGCGTGAGAACCATAAAATCATACTACTGTACCTTACTAGTTATATCATTAATTTTTCATGAGAGCCTCCATCATTTTTGAAATGGAAAATCATCCCCCATCCCGCATCAGTCATTTGCGTCCAGACTATTCATAAATTTATATTAAATACATTGTTCCACCAAAAAGTTATATAATTTATTTATCAAATAAACCGTTTATATGAAAATTAAAAAGCGATCATTAAAACATTTAAAAATATCATTAATTATTTAAATAATTAAAGAATTATAAAAATTACTCATCAATTAGTTTATTCTGGTGTTTATCACCAAAGTATTTACATAATTCATTAAAACCAACCAATGCTTTCATTTAAATCCTATCACAACCTCGGTGATTCACGGAACAAATATATCGAGCATAAATACTTTGTTTGTTCGTAAACTCCGAAAAATATTAGGCTACTGAGACCAAACCCAAAAGTCCTCAATGAAATGCCGGTGAATAGTCTAAAAAAGAGAAAAATACAAAAAATATTATAATGAATCTGATTAAAAAAAATTAAAACATTAATAAGCATAATAGGTACCCTCTGATTCCTTTCTCTGTGTAAACCTCTCTCATGGTGTCTGAAATTTTAACTCTTTTCTGCGAAATGTGACTCAGCATTATTCTTGTTTTTATGACGTCAAACGGTGTTGTTAATGCTGCTGAAGTGGAGCCTAATAAAAAATAATCAAAATAAATCGATTAATCATTTTATAACTTCCTTATAATGAAGTTATGATGTAAAATTATCGTATCCAGTAATGTCTAATACTTTACCGGCAAATGCGCCTGCAATGGCTCCTTCTAGTGGCGTGCAATCCCGCTGCATTTTATTTTTCCACGATAATTTAAGAAAATCCCATAAAGGCATTTGAAATATCCCAAATGGTAGATCACGGAGCAGAGTAATACCATACCCGCGATACAGAGTTCTTATACCGAGAATTGCCGGATAAGCGTCAGTTAAAAGTGCTTGCCGACGTTGCTTCAATACTTCAACAGGTACTTTAACAAGGCAGGCCATCTTTAACATAAAAACATTTTAAACGTTTTGACTTTTTACACGATGATGAAATTAAAAAAAAAGTAAATTACCAATTCGGCAGCGCAAGCTCCTCCCATATGAACAAACGGATAATTCTTTGGTTCAACATACGGTTGAACGATTTCCTTGAATCCGTCGTAAGTCGCGAAAAATAACGAAGCTATATTTAAAAAATTGTTTACAGAACTCGTATTGCTTGTCTGGATGAATGTATAAATAATAATAATAATCTTACCTGAAGGAGCGGATCCAGCGATCGCTGGTCCGAGACCGCGGTAAAGTTTCTTAAACCCTCCAGAGTTTATGAACCCTTGTTTGCTCTGCAACCGCGTTTTGACTGTTTCCATCGGGAAAAATATTACGTCATAAGCTAGTCCAGCGGCAGCTCCAGACTGTAATAAATATTTTTATTTATATTTTTAGGGCATAAGTTTCTTTTTACGAGTCGATTCTTAAGATGAGGACTTACGATCATTGATGACCAAAAAATATTTCTGCGGGATGGTTCCATCTTCTTTGTCTCCTCAGACATTTTTATGAGGTTTTAGTTCGCTCAGTCCTGAAAGCTGTAAATTGAATAATATTTTTTATTTGGTAAAAATTTTTATCAAAATTTTCTTACGTATAGAGTTTTTATAAGGAATGATAATTTTAGATTTTTTTAACAAAATAACTTACTTTGAAAAAAAAATATTTAAAAAAAATCGCATTTGTAGAAATTACAAAAAACTACGAGTGAAAATTTTTATAAATATTTCTTTTAATTTCTACTAAATTTATCACCATAAAAATTTTATGATTAGCTAAATTAATCAAATCAAGTTTCATGATCAATTTTTCTTATAAAATTTAACATCATATGTAAAAAAAAATATCTTCAAGTATATTTACTTTAACCAATATTATTTCTTCACAGCGTAAAAAGTGTATTAGCATTAAATTTTATTCTTATTACAATATCTTTGATACGATCTTGTCCTTCGTAAATAAAATCTCATTGCATAAAAAAATCCCACTAAAGTTTTTTGTCTACGGATGAAAATAAAGTTGGGTTATATCTTGATTCGATGAAAAGTAAGTTCGAGGATGTGAAAAAAGAAAAATTTTTTCTTAATACTTATAAGAGACATCTAAAAGTTTCGATAAAGGCAATAAGGATAACTCCCTGCGAAGAAAATCATCTTTTGTGAGTACTTTTTGTCCAGGAAAAAAATTCTGTACAACAATAAAAAGAAAAAATAGTCGTACAACATGCTTAAAAATAAGCGGGCTAATTATGGATTATTGGATATAAGATAGTTATAATAATAATACAAATAAAAAAAATTTTAAAGCTTGAAACAAACAAACCAACTAGTGCGCAGAATGTGGGTCGTAGAATTTTTCATACGTACTCGATTCGGTTTAGTTATGTTTAAATATATAGCTAAGTACTTTTAATGTAAAACTTTCGATAATAGCCTGGCTCAAAGTTATAAACATATATATCTATTAAAAGAGTGCGAGTGAGTACTTCAACCTCAATAGATCTGAGTATGGAGTATATGGAAGATGAGAAATAAGTTTATAGATAGCATAGAAACCTAAATTTTATTAATCTTCTTTCAATAGCGTGCATGATGAATGTTTTTTTATTTGCTGTGGTTGCGAGTGCTTTGAATTTTTATTTTTATAGCTAAATGTCAGGGTATAATTATCAAGTCGTTAAACTATAATTTACAAGATGGGAAACACTCCAAGTTGTTTAGCAATAAATAGTTTATTATGTGTCTTACTATTAATTAGAAATGACTCTAACACTGCTCTTTCGGTGTAAACTTATGAATGAGAAATTTTGCGGTGACAACATGGAGGACAAGTGCATTTAAAATGGAGCCATCACCTCTTTCCAACTTTTATCGCGAATAACTTCAGATCAAAAAATACAAACTCCCGATTTTTTGTATAGAATATCAACTATCCGTTCAATTTATTATTGATGCATAAAAATACTTGTACAAACAGAATTTATCATTGGTATTTTCCATATTTTATTCCGGTATCATATCAGTGACGTATGACGTCATGGAGCGTGTATATGTATAATAGAGTTCTAAAAGAACTATCATTATTTGGTAAAATATACGAGCAAGTAAAGGCAAAAGGCATAACATCGTGATACTCTATGTAAATGTAAATATATACGTATGTAAATGTATTATATATTTGTAGTGGGAGTGAAACTGACTGTTTACCACCTCTCTCATAACTTTGACAGTTCCATTACCGTATCAAAAGCTAACGGCAGCATCGTATGGATAGTTCACGTCTGTGAATCGACGCGTGCGGTGGTCCGTCAGGTAGTTGTTGTGTTACTGTCCTCTTTAATTATAAGTAACGATTATCTATTTTGTTGGTTTTTTCCACTAATCATCTACATCATTTACCGAGGACAAAACAGTGTAATTATTTTTTATATTCCGTTTATTAGTGCATGTTGGTGTTTTTTTTTTTTTTTTTTTTTTTTTTTTTTTTTTTTTTTAATTATTATTAAGAAAAAGATCTAATAATGAAAAAAAAAGAGAAAAAAATCATTAGTTCTTTTTTAATGTCAGAGAACGAATTGACGTGAGAAAAATTGTGTGTTTAGCAACAGAGGAACAATAGTGATGAAATTTACAAAGAAACACTACAAACGGATACATAGGATAGATCTGTTATATGCGACAATTTATCATTTTTAGTGCAACTCTTTGTTATTTATGGAGACCTACTTTTTAAATACATGATTAAAATTTATTTGCTTGATCATAAAAAAAATATCAAATTCATTATTTTTTCTTTTTGAGAAATTTTTCCGATTAGAAATTTATTTTTTTTATATTGAGCGTATTCGATTGTCCAAATTTTTATTTAATTTTTTAATATAGATAAAATGTCACGCGCGAAAATTGAAAACAAAAAAAAATAAATTATTTACAGTTATGAGCAAAAATAAATTTAACGGAATTGAAATTAGAAAACTTGAAAGTTTATTTTTTTAATGTTTCGATTGTTGCATAGTATGCACATAAGTTTGAACATTGAAATTTTCGCTCACGTAGTGGTTAAAATTGATGGCAGTAAAAATAAAGTATTAGGTTAATTTTTGAGTGATTTCACTAAAGAAAGAATCAAGAAATAATAATCAGTAGATTTTATATACAGAAAATCAAAATTAATTAATGTAAATTTTAGGAATGACATATTTTACCTGCTTTTAGTTACGACTTTGCTATAAAAAATTTATTTGAATTTTCTTTCATTGAAAAGTTAATAAAAGGCATAAGAATATTAAAACTAAAAAACTTAACTTTTGTATTCTAAAGATGTCCCAACGGATGTAAAACAAGAAATTTTGATCGTAAAAACTCGAAAAATCTATAGGAAGAGTCAGTGACTACTCAAAAGATGTTATTTCAAAATAACATTGGAAATTTCCCGAGTGTATTTCGACGATAGTTAAATATTCGTTCCGAGAATTTAATATAATTGTCGATTTCTGAGAAAAGAATTACTTTGATACACAATAAATTAAAGATAATATAGATAGATAGATCTAAGTTCAAATGATATGATCAAACTTGTATTAATATTTACGTTTAATATTTTTAAAAAGTTCTTTTAAACCTCATAAAGTAGCAGGTCAAAAATGTTAAAATATTCAAAACAACAAAAATACACGGAAAGTAAAAGGATGTTTAATAGCGCTTCAGTATTTTTTTATTTTCATTTTTAATTGTATGTAATCACACGAAAAGCCGCAATCTCACGTACCATTTTTAAGCCAGTCACTAGATTTAATTGTTTTATTCATCAAAACAATTCTCTACAATCATTTTTTTAATAGAAGTTTATTAATTTCAAAATACACCGCAGTATTTAAATACATTTTTAATCCATAACTTGTAATTGAAGAGTACATATAATAAGTTGAAGGTGGTCGAACAGAACAATTTTTTGTTCAACATTTGCAACTCCTCAATAATTCATAAGATTGACATCAATTTTAGTTTTTAATTAAAAAAATTCTCGAACAAAAAATATTTTTTTTTCAACAAAACTATCAAATTTCACATTTTTTTTTAGTAAATATTTGAATTTTTTAATAAATAGACTGAATATAAAAATTTTTTCTATATTGTCATAAGACTGAACTGACGTTACGCGTATAAAACTTTTTTTCCGATGCATACCCAATAAATTTGAGCACGTTGATGGGCTATAAAACAAAATAATTTAGCAAATATCTGGGAGATTATTTACAATAAAATAAAGTGATTTAGTTGATTGTTATTCATCGAGTTAGCCATATCGTACGTGCGGCCTCGTTGCGTTGATATATATGAAATAAATAAATAAATAAAAGAAGAACAAACGGTATATACTTTTATACTTGTGACATATTAGTCTGTTGTGTCGCATAGTATCTAGGCCCTGAATTTTAAATTATTAAATGTCCATGATATGATGAACATGATTGAGTTTCTATTCATTTCCAATATACACATATATAACACTATGTCATATAAAATAATAACTATATAAATACAAAACGCATAGAACCTTTTATTTACTCAAATGTAAATCAACAAACATAAACATGGACAAACAATGTTTTCCTTTAAGACAAGATCTAAATGCTTTGTTTATTACTAATAGTGGCTACTACTACTATTGATATTTTTATAGCGTATTAAGCAATAATTTAGTTAAGTATAGAGTAAACTTTATTCATCTCAATTACAAATTCCTGTCGCTTTCTCATTTTTCATTATATTAGGACAATCCTCCTATTCGTTTTCCGTTGATCATACTATACGATCGTATCATATCGTATCATGTGTTGTTGTATATTCATATTTTACGTCTCTATATCATTAGAAAGTTGTCATACACGACAAATTATAAATATATATTGAAAGCTAATAAAAAACAATCCAACAGGAATTTTCTGTTCCGCATTTTGATTTGCATCTTAGTTTTGTTAATTAAGTGATTATTGGCAAATATACATGCAATATGTATTTTCTAAAAGATTTATAGAAAGTATCGTTATAGGAAATTTTTTTATGCGAATGGAGGCTTTTTCAAGCTTATAGAAATGCTTTCTTTTTTTAACCTTTAATTAATCCGAACTAGTGAAGTGAAATTAATAAAGAAGCACTTTGTGGGTTTAAGTGGATTTTTTTCCACTTAGAGAATTGATCGTTTTTTCTTATTCACGTCGGTTTTGAATGAATTCTGATAAAAAAATGGAATTTCTAAAACAAATTTTGATCATTTTTCAGATAAAATTAAAAAAAAAACAGTGTAGGAAATTTTTCAAATTTTAATTTTATAAAAAATTTTAATTTTATGCAAAATTAAAATCTATTCATATATTTATTTTACGCAACCAAAATTTCTTTGCCATATTTATCACCCTCATCATTATTTATGGCTAATCTTGAAAGTTATATATACCCACAGTTAAGAAAAGTCCTAATCCAAAGTACATCTATTTTGATTCAA